ATGAAATGTTATCGTATATTAATTCACGCTGTGTGCGTGTTTGTGAAGCTATTTGTTTTGGAGCTTGCAGAACCAAACTTGGCAAGTGAGCTTGGAATGGCCCGGATATTATCCTTATCTATATGTCGTAGCACTCCTACCCAGAAGCGATAAAATGTGTCCAGGGAATCACCTAGCCAAGATGGGGTCGAGGCATAGATTCATAGGGTCGCCGAACACGAATCAAGCATCATATTTGATGTTCTTTGCACCATTTGGTATCCTAGAGGCACTCACTATATTTTAAAATGTGTTTATACCCCCCCCCTTCCCGAGGTTGTGAGACCAAATTGACACTTGTGCTCAGATACCACAGATAGATGTTCTGATGGGGTTTATTTTTGGGTATGGACTCTCCTCTTTGGGTGACTATAGAAGTAATTGGGGATAATAAAGAAGCTTGATCAGAATATTGGAACCTCTGTGAATCATAAAGGAGCCTTTTAACCCTACATCAGAGCGTGGGTACTTTATGTTAGTGGTGATAATTATATAATTTATTTAATTAAATAGAGCAAATAACAATTTATTCATAAATTTCAATCCGAATTGGCATTAGAGAGAGTGTCATTGTAGCAGTGACATGTTGCCTCAGATGTGAGCCATGCATCACTGGCGATTTATTTGGTTGACATTGAATTCTCACGACCTCGACTGTTTAATGCTGCTGCGGAAAGACTTATGGTTGGAATATATTTGTCAAAGTCCTTTAGGACAAATAATATTCGTGTAGCGAGATTTGAAAACATGTAAAGCAAAATGACACAACACCTTAAAAATGGGAGACCTTCAAAATTTTCTGTGGAAGCGAAGAAATTCAAAGAGTTCGATACAGTAAAAGTCTTTGAAACCACACCCCAAAACAATCTTGAACAAATCCATCCTCTCTCCAACCCAAGTGTTTCAATGAAGCTGGGCATATCTCCATTAACGAGAAAATAAACAATAATTTGAATTAACAAAAGTTCCCAACGAAATCAATGACTGTTTTAATGAGAAAGATGGTCAAAATAACTGTTGCAATCGTGGTATATTTGCATTTCGCTTTCCACTCTTATGTCCATCAACTTTATTTAAGTTGTCCTTATTTCTATTAGAAATTGGCTCATACTTATGTAAACATAACAAATTGCCGTGTGTTACTGGTAATCAACAACACATAGGTTTAGATTTTTTTTTAATTGGAAGCATATTACTTTCTTCCTTCGTCTCTTTCTGTTTATTCATTCTCTCTCACATCCTTTTTGGTCTTCTTTTTAGCTGCGGCATGGCGGCTCTGAGGTTTTCTTTTTTCTTTTGTTTTTTCAAGTACAAACGTTTAGCTCATAGCTCCACAATCTCTTGACCGATTTGATATCTAATTACAGTTTTGGACTCAGAAGAG